ACACAGAACTAACCTAAACAGCCTCGCTTGTAAGTTGGTCACAGGCTAGACATGGATTTTAAGGCGAGCCAGGCCTTGGTAACTTCAAACCATCAATCCTCCATTACTCTGAGACCTAGGGTGACTACATTTTATATCATTTGCTGTTATGCACAGACGCTGTTAGGTACAGTTATTACGACGGAGCAAAATTTATCCGAACCCTTTACAGACTATGTGACATCCCTAAGCCAGAATATTATTATTTTCAACTTTTGATAAATTTTCCATTTAACTATGAAATATGTATATTTTAGAGCTAAGACTAGTATAAATACTCAAATAGTATTGTGTGCTTTTCATAAAGTTTGTTCTTTTTAATATCACTTAATAGTTACGTCACCGTTCAAATGCAATCTGCAAGCAGACCCCAGCACCAACAGAACCTCTCCCACTGCCTTCAGTCATGCTGTCAAAAAAGTCCTCTTCAACGACGCCTTCAAGAGCCACAGTTACACTCCATGCTGGAGCCTCTGTTCTTGGCTCAGCTAGTCAGCCTTCAAGCGGGCGTTCTCCACCCGGCAGAACTACTCGCCTCGTTCTACCTCCTTACCCATCAAGTGGCCCATTCGCCTCATTATGGCGTCTACCTCGAGGCGCACGCCTGGGGCATAAAATCATAGAATCCGGAAAAGCAGGGAATAGTGAGTTACCTGGTATTTTGTTTAGGCTTTATGAACATCGAAAAATAATTTATTTTTTTACTTATATAGGCCCTGGCTGTAATCTGTATGCTCATATAAACAGGCATTCAAATGCCTGCATCTGAGAACTATAGCTCGTTCAATTATTCCATCTAAACTGCCCTATCCTTGTTGATAACCCTTAAAATTTCTGAGATCCATCCTGAATTTCTTGCGTAATAGACACAAGCTCACGCATGTCACCACAACATGCATCTCGCTCTATGTTTTAGTATCAGCTTCAGTATGCAAACGCAGCAACGCTACATTAATGATATTTTCTCTCGAGAATCTTCGTGTATCACGTTTGTGGACGATTAAGTTAAATATTGACTAATGAAATTATATGGTATTTTTTAGCTTCATCACAGCGCTCGTTGCTATAGCCTTGCTAAGACTTCAGCAAGAGAGATT